TTCAACAATAAACATGAGTTAAAAACAAACAAAAACAAAAACTCTGATGCTGAAACTAAAAGCCAGACTTCAGCCCCGGGGGTGTTAGCTGATCTCAGTAACCAAGAGACTTGAACCTTAATGGGACAAGAAAAAGAGAATGATGGATAGGTCCGTCATTATACAAAGGAGGTATTACAGCTTAGAGGTACACCGCCCTGCCCAGGAAGCTGGGTCCCTTTCAAGAATCCCCCAAAAATATGGACTGGAAAAAATTCTCCCTGACAATGAGAAAACAAAGGATGAGGCAAATGTCTCCCTGAGAGTTCATGATCACGAGCAAACCTTCATGCTCCTCTGGGGTTCAAATGTCTACTACCGATGTATACTTAACTCCTGTAAACCAAGAAATTCACATCAAGGTTTTCTGGGTTGGTAACCCCCTGGAGCAGCTGCAGATGCAAATAAAAATCTTCCCAGAAAGTACATATCCATAATCCAGGCTTCCTAGGAATGGCACAAAGTCTTGATGAACACAAGCTTACACTCCCAAAGTGTAAAACGTACGCAAAATAGGCTACTACGAGTGAACTAGAAGTTTAACCACCAAAATTAAACACATCAGAATGCTACTCCGGAAAAAAATCTTTAGCTACAGAAAGACTTCAAAGTTGTGCCACTAGTTAGTCAAAGTCACTTTGAGATCATCCAAATTCTGTATGATATTATAAAACAGTTGTATGAACTTTGGAACATGAAAAGATGCAAGATTCCATCAGGTTCAAAGTTCTTAAGGTTTTCCTAGAGACATTTCCATACTTGAGGATTTCATCGAAGGATACTTAGAGAAAAAACAACAAAAATGTATCTTAATAGCCAAAGACATGCAACGTCCAATTTTGTTATTAATCTTGGTGGGATGTGCAGACTTCTTTAAGTTGGGGAAAAGTAGGTAATGTGTATAATTTGGACCTAAAGGACCTTGTCACCTAACCCTGATGTTTCCTTTCTGGGTAAGAAATAATTTATTGTTCCTCTGGGCTTTTCTCTGCCCTATATTTATTACCACCACCTCCACTCCTCAATCCTGGGGGTTGGGGGAAAATAACTTAATTGGCAAATTTGGCAAGAAAACTGGGCATGCCTCTTGGTAGTCAGTTGTCCACAGAGCACACATATTTTGTCCTGCTCCTTTTTGGGCAGGACTTCCTTCAGACCATGTTTTTTGGGGGTGTGTCTGGCTAAATCTTGGCTCAAGTCTTGTCCTCTATCCATTTTATATTTTTTAATCCTCACCCGAGGATATTTTTCCATTTATCATCAGTGGGAGGGAGAGGGAGAGAGAAAAACATTGATGTGAGAGAGATACATCAACTGGTACCTCCCACACAACCCGACCAGGGCAGGGGACAAACCATAGTCGAGGTACATGCCCCTGACAGGAATCAAACCCGCACCTCATTGGTCTGTGGGCCGGCGCTCCAACTGCTGGGCCAAGCCAGCCAGGGTATGACCTTTATCCATTTTTAATTGGTCATGAGAAACCATAGTTAACTGTCTTGCTTAATAAGAACCTGTTTTTCAAACTTGAAATGATTCAGGGGCCCTAGAATAATGAAGGCTAACCTGAGACCTTTGTGAGTGAGCAGATGAGAGGTAAGGGTAGGGTACAGAGGGAAAAGTGTCCTAACCTGATGAACAGCATTTACAGGAGGGCTGATGCAGCTTAGTGGAACTGCAACTGGACTGTGAAATGAAGAGTTCTCAGGTAGGCCTGGAGGGATCAGCAGGACCAGATGGTAGGATCCTAAGAGGCTGGCTGACGAGCTACAGAGTATGATAGGGTGTGCTATTACTCATTTGTTCATAAAACAGTTTGTGCCTGCCATTTTAGGGTGCTGGGGAACTGTGTTTAAGGTAGTGATAAACAAGAGAAACAAGGTCCTTATCCTCATGCTAGTAGAGAAGAGATGATAACTGCTAAATACTTTTGGAGAGCTACCTGCTGTTGAAAAAATAAAACAGGGAAATAGTATAGGGGTGATGAAGTTAGGGGATGCTACTTTAGAAATGGCAATGGAAACATTTGAGCTGAGTCCTGAATAAGAACAAGAAACCAAAATATGCATAAAAAACAGATATGGCAGAGGTAACAGCTCATACAAAACCCAAGGGTGGAATGAATGGGTGTGCTGCAGAAGAGCACGGCCAGGAGCGAGGGGACTGGAGGGAACAAGAGACAAAGTGGTGTGAGATGCTGAGGCAGCCCAGAACACGAGTTGTTGAGGCTGGGAAAAGAGCAGCCATTCCACAAACCCAGGGGTGCAGCATTTCAAACCTCATTATTTTCTTTAACTTAAATAAAACCTGACTCTGAGCCCCGTCCCATCCGACATGTCATGAGAGAGGCTCTGTCACCAATTTTTTGCAAAAAAATTAATCTTTATTGTTGAAAGTATTACAGATATCCCCTTTTCCCCACTGACCTCCTCTACCCTATTCTGCCCCTCGCCCCCCCCCACCCAGGCCTTCACCACACTGTTGTCTGTGTCCATTGGTTATGCATATAAGTTCTTTGGTTTATCTCTTCCCGCCCCTCCCCCTTCTGTCACCTACCTTGCTTGGGTCTCACATAATCCCAGAGACAAGTTTGGGGGCCCTGGACAATGAGGGCTGAGCCGAGCTGCTAATATTCATTGGCTGAAATCTCTAGAAAAAGGCAACTGTAGGCTCAGGAGCCAGGCCTCCTTGTGAGCTGCAGGGCAAGTCTTAGATCTTTGGCCTCTTCTAAGGCATGTTGAGGCTGGGGCGGTCCACAGGGTCTGGGGGACCCACACTACTTCATCTTCTCTTTCAGGGCCCCAAAGTCACTCATACTCTTCCTGCCCATCAAATGCCCTAGATCAGGTGAGTCTTCTGGAAAACAAAAGGCAAGTTGTCTGTGGTGCTCCTACTTCCTACTGGATAACTCAAACCCTCTGAGGCAAAGCAGCAAAAGGTTTGCCATTTTCTCAAACTGCAAGGGCTTGGGGCAGTGACTGCCTGCACCCGTGTTTTAGAACACTCTGCTGCAGTACGGAGCACAGAAGTAAAGAGGGTCGAAACATAATTTTTCTCCTAAAGATATTTCAGCAATGACTGTGTCTAACTTCAGTGGCTACATTCACCGAGCGAGGGAATTTCTGTGCCTGTGACTGGCAGGGGTTCTGCACTTCTCCAGGCTTCACTCTGAGTCACAGCACCAGTGTGGGAGAGCAGAAATCTTTTTTCTTTGCTTCTGCACTGAGAATCCTCATCTCAAAAGACCTTAGAATTATTGCTGACTTCATCCTTCCAGCACAGACTTCAAAGTAAAAAAATGTGAAATGAATTTATTTTTTTATTTGTTAGGAAAAATCTAAAAGGTATGAGTCATAACTCCTAACACCCACAGCTAAGGGCGTGTCTGCTGGTTTAGAAACTCAAAACATGCCAGGCGTGGAGCAGCCTGATTAAGCCAGTGCACCTCAGATGGTGGCTGTCAGGTCCCTGCTGACTTTTCTGGCTCAGAGGTGTTCCCTCTTTACTCTGCATCTCCAGGTTGACCCTCTCTGCCTCTCAGCTCCATGTGACAAACTGCTGTGGGACACCTTCCGTGAAAAAACAACTTTCCTAATCAAATGTATTATCTTTCTTGAAACTAATTCTATACCCTCAAAGCTGTCAGATCTGTCATTCCCTTAAGTCACTCAGGCTGGTAATCTGTCTTCTTGAGATTTCTGATTTCTAGATCCCTCATCCATTAGGCTATAGAAATGTGAATTCTGTAAAATAACCATGAGAATATAGCCTATAGCTCTCAAGTCGAATAATATCCTTTGAGGAGTGCTGCTGGAAAGCTGGGAATTCTCTTCCTACCTTGATCTTTCTGTAACTCCTTCTAACCATCAGGTAGTTCTTGTGAGGCTGATTGGCATCACAAGACCCTCGGAGCAAGGAGAACAGTTAATTATTTCATTGCAAAGGTTACCCCATATTGGAATACAGCATATTTTGAAAAAGCAGAGAGCAAACTGCTACAGATCCTTTGTTTCAACAGAATCTATAGGGACATCCAGAGAAGGGGACATGCTTCGGCTGATACCTTCAACAAAAAACTCACCAGACAGAAACATCAAACTTACTTTGATGTTCTATGCTGAAGTTAACAAAAAATATGACTCACTCATTTCAATATTTTATTAAAATACTTTTTTGTTTATAGGTACAACCAAAGGAAAAAATACGTAATTTTATTTGTTGTAGATCATGTAAAATACAATAAACATAGGCTCATGAAAACACAGAATATATCTTAAAATATTCAAAGAAGTTTTCATAAAAACAAACTTTAAATATGTGGCTTATTTATATATTTACCTCATTTTTCAGAAGTTTCGTTTCTTTTCTCCATTTTAATGCTACTGTGATTTATACATTATTGTTTAAATAGTCTAACATCTCATCAATTTTTTTCTGAACCCCTTGAAATTATATTTCTAAACAAAGGTCTCTCCTTTACAGCATCCTTTGTAAATGAAGACTTATTTTATTCGAATTACCATTTGATTTGGTGCCGTTATAGTTTCAGTAACAATTAGATGTTACTGGGGGAAGGAGACAGAAAAATCTGCAGCAAGAACATGTTTTACTAGAGGAAAGAACCTTTTATATACGGCTTTTATAATACCTATTGATTTAAATTTTGGTGTTTTTAATCTAGCTATAAAAAAGGTAAGAACTGCCCTGGCCGGTTTGGCTCAGCGGTTAAAGCAGTGGCCTACGGTCCAGAGACCCGGGTTCGGTTCCCACTAAGGGCACGTACCTCGGTTGCAGTTTGTCCCGGGCCCTGGTTGGGTCGTGTGGGTGGCAGCCACTCGATGTGTACCTTTCATGTCGATGTTTCTCTCTCTCTCCCTCCAACTCTATCTGAACAAAAAATGGAAGAATGTCCTCAGGTGAGGATTTAAAAAAAAAGGTAAGAACCTAATCTTTTATTTGGAAAAAAAAAAACCAAAAACAACTTTTTTTTTTTTTTTTACCAGAGCTTCTGTAGAAGTGAATTGTGCTTAGAATGGGAATAGAAGGTCTAAATTTTAGTGGGGCTATTGGCTTCCCAAATTTTATACTTTTAATTTGAAAAAATATTGTTATTCAAAACTGAAATGGAATCTTTCAGGTGAACTTTGTCTTTCAACACCTTCATAAACCAGAAAATTGGGCATTACATTTAGGGATAATTTCTATTGGGAGAAAGAGAGTAAGAAAAATCAGTTAAAACATAATATGGTTCAAGAAATTACCTTTCCAATGTGGGGGGCAGAGATATATTACATTTTAAAATTTAATAATGAAGACCTAAAAAAGATGATGAATGCAGTTTTAAAAAGTTTGCTCCTGTATTAAAGGAAACATTAAGCATGTTGTCAATAAACACAGAAGTATTCTAAACATAAATATGAAATTACTCTGAAAAACTGCAAAGTTGAAATGAACCAACGGGCTACAGATTCCTTTAAAACTTTCTTAAGTTCAAGAAAACTTTCACCTTTATTGGAGCTAATATGTTTTCAAGGCACTTTTAAACAGAGGCATTCTAGATAAAAGTAAGAAAAGGAAATCCCAATGTTTTCCTATAAAAAACAACATCCATAACCTACATTTCAACTTTATAAAAAGCTAAGGTACCTTGATTATTCATCAGTTATCTGAAAGAGCAGAAAAGGTATTAAGGCTTCAAAGTTTATGGTAGTTAATCATAATATTACATATGATCTTGTAACTAACTACTGTTCAGATAATGAATATAAATACAAAGTATCTAAGAGCATTATCTATGTAACATATTTAGACATACAAAGAGGTATTCCTAAAAAGTTATGTGTAACTCAAATGTGTCCCATTTGAGAAATCAGTAATTTTGTAAAGTTAAGAGTCTCTGTAATATAAATATTTTTAGATGCTTGAAGATTACAATATTATTACTATGAAGGGCACACAGTATCTAAGCTTATCTTTATTGAAACATCATATAAAAAGCTGGCAAAATATTCTGTAGTATATTTGAGGTTAATATCTTGAACAGAGATTTTTTTTTTTTGGTTTCATAATCTTAACCTCCTACTGTATGATTATACCTGTTTAAAATAAGAACATTTGTTCTAGATATAAACCTAAAAGAAAGATTACAAAGCAACAAAATAATTAATGTAAATAGTTTTAAGTTTGTTTCCCATCAGAATCCCCAGGATTTTCAACCTTCCCAGCTCATACCCGTAAATTATCTTCTTCAGCCTCTCCTACCACTCATCCACGGCAGAATGTGGCTGTGTGCTGAGGCTAAGTGGGTCACTCTTCGCTTCAGCACAGCTTCACCTTCCAACTTCACCATTTCCATACAAGGGACAAATTGTTTCCTTGTTTCTCTATGTGAGTCTGATCTGACAGTCTTCCCATTCCTAGTGCTCTTTAAACTGGTACCTTAAGTCAGAGAAATGCTTTAATTTCCTAACTACTTAAGCTAGCAGTATATTTAATGCAGTCTGATAGGTGTACCATGAAATTCTTGACAAAGATTATTCATTAGTACCTACATCAGCACTTTGGGCAGGGGGACGGAAGAGAAGGAGAAACTTTCCCTAAAGTATGTGTATTATTGGATGAATTCTACTATGTCAGGATAATAAATTGTAAAATATAGTAAGCATTTACTTTCTAAAACCAACATAAAAAGGTTTAAAATTAAGCTTTTTAAATGGTGATTTTAATGAATTCTCAGGGTAATATATTTGGATATCTACCCTACTTATAGAACAGATAAACAATACAATGCACAGTGAAGAATGGCATAGAACGATAAAAACTCAGTGTCTTAGGAACAGTACATGAAGAAAACATACATTATGTTGACATGTTCTAACACTTCCAAAACAAAAAGTTTTTGGAATGTTATAAGAAAATGACATCAGGCCTTATGTTAGAAACCTCAGATCTTTTCAAGTATTCTCTGTGCAATTGCTTCTCATATGACCAAAGCTGTACATGTATTTAGAGGAAAGGGCTTATTGCTAGTGGACAGTAAAATCAATGTGAGCAGTTGTCAGAATTTAACACACTACTGAATTTGACATACTTTAAAAGCAACTCAGTCCAAATTCTTTACATCTTCTTAACCTGCTGGTATTGATGCAACCAGCAGACCTTAGTGAATAGCTTTTCATACCTTTGTTTTTGACTCAACTGTTTTGGTTTCCATTTCTTTGCCTTCTTTAAAACATGCAGTTCATACATTTGACAGTTTTACTACCATAGTCAATACATTCTGGACCAATACATTCGCAGCAGGCGTTATGGAACCAGCGATATTTGGATGCCCCCATGGACTCACAGGATATTTTACACTGATGTATCGACATGCAGTCATCAAAATAAACCACAGTACACATGTGTTCTGAAAAATAAAAAATTAAGATCTCAGAGCAAGAAATAAGAAAAGTATAAAATGCTTCAGTACTTAACTGAATATTATTAAGTTATTTTATCTTAGTTCTTATTGCTAGTCTGCACAGAACAATGGATGAAGTATAGGAAAAAAGATCACATTTGTCAAGTACATTGAGAAGGAGGCCGGGAGTCTCCCACTCCAGCTGAAGGACACGACGGGCTTACTTAGTCACGCTATCAGATTTCAGACTTTGATCTGAAAGTTAAGATTACTGGGTTTAATAACATTTTGCCATGCATCAGAGTTGTGCTTTTTAAACTGGGCATTTCTGATACGATTTCCTTTGAGGAGAGAATTTTCCAGCTAAAAGAAGTTTGAAAAATACTATTCTAAAGTTATACAGAGAATTTATAATAAAATAAAACAAACTTAAGTAATTCAAATAATGATAAATGACTTGCAATGCCTGGCACAATTCAGCATTAGCTATTAGAAATTACTATTCTTCTTATCAATAACAATTTCAAGTCCTGCTTTCCAAGCAACCACTTCTGACTATTTCAATTTTTTTTTTTTTTATCCTCACCCGAGGACATTTTTCCATTTTTTGTACAGATAGAGCGGGAGGGAGAGAGAGGAAGAGAGAGAGAGAGAAACATCGACGTGAAAGGGACACATCGAGTGGCTGCCACCCGCACGACCAACCAGGGCCGGGGAAAAACTGCAACCGAAGTACGTGCCCTTAGCGGGAACCGAACCCGGGTCTCTCCGGACCACAGGCCAACGCTCTATCCGCTGAGCCAAACCGGCCAGGGCTGAAACTACCATAGGCTTTAAGTTATATGCCTTTTACATTCCAAAATAAAGGTATGATCTATCCTCACTAACAAATGTTCTTTAATATGTTTCCCAAAATTGTATATGTCATTCTCTCATTTAGTTTCCCTTCTGATCAATAATACTCATTTGCAGAGAACTGGATGCAGTTAGTTTATACCTGGAAATTAGATGTCTGTAATACCAACTTGTTTATAAGGAAATTTAGCTGATAACCTGGCATCATTCGTGGTACCAAAGCTATCATAAAAATATGATTTTCAAGGATAGTCTAAATGTAACCTGGTAAGCAATACTGTATTAGGTAAGCAGCACTGTTGCTACCTTATAAAAAGAACAACTGAAGTCTAAAACAAGTATCAAAATTAGGACAATATATATATCTATCTTCCAGTATAGCCTCCAACACTAAGAGTATGAAGAAGTTGTGGCAATATGCTTGACACTTCTTTTTTTTTTTTTTTTTTTTTTTTATCCTCACCCGAGGATATTTTCCATTTTTTTGTACAGACAGAGTGGGAGGGAGTGAGAGGAAGAGAGAGAGAGGGAAACATCGATGTGAAAGGGACACATCGAGTGGCTGCCACCCGCACAACCAACCGGGGCCGGGGACAAACTGCAACCGAGATACGTGCCCTTAGCGGGAACCGAACCCGGGTCTCTCCGGACCGCAGGCCGACACTCTAACCGCTGAGCCAAACTGGCCAGGGCATGCTTGACACTTCTTATCTACTCAGGGATTTGGTATAATTAAAATTCAGAATTTACTTAAGACTATACAAACTCAAAACCAAAGAGCTGCTCTAAAAAAATAATCTTAATATAGGCCTCACAGACCACATAGAAAGTGAGGGGGCAGAACAGAAAAAGTCAACTGTTGGCAATTACCTTTGTCACTGGAATAAGGTGCATGAACATTATTGCTGGGAACAGACACATTTTGGTGGTGTGGCTGGTTTACAGTCTCTAAAAATGAAACCAGATTCTCATGATGTGAAAGTTCTTCTGCAACAGGGAAGGAGACGATGTTCCAGTTCAACTGAGTGTCTCCTTCTGTGAGTGCCCGGAAGAGAGAAGGGATTGGTTCATGAAGCTCCTCCACTGTGCTCTTTGAAGTGGGAGGTGTGTCACTATAATTTCGAGGATTACACATACCTAGGGGTTGGAGAGGCAAAGAGAATAAGTTTAATATTCTTCTAATTGTAATGTCATGAACTACTGTTATTTACTGCCCTGCAATCAAAGCTCCAACATATTAAAATTATGTGATATCTAGAATTATACATATTTCTCTAGGTTTTTTTTCTTTTTCTGAGAGGGCCTTAAAGCAATGACATATCGGTAGGATCAAGCACACTACATTCCCATATTTTGTTTTCTAAGTACCTATCCTCCACTAAGAGGAACGAGAAACCCTTAGAAAAAAGACTGATTCTAAGGATGGATCCAGGAAAAGACAAATTGACGCTTTTTGTGCCAGAAAGTAAAGAATGATGGGACAAGTGGAATAACATAGGAGGCAACCAGAAGGGCAAAATTAATAATTTAACACTAAAATAAATTACAGAAATGGATTACCACTTTGTGAATAAAATAGAAATTGATGAGTCCAGCCGGTGTGGCTCAGTGTTGAGCACTGACGCATGCCCAAGAGGTTGCTGGTACAATTCCTGGTCAGGACACATGCCCAGATTGTGGGCCAGATACCCAGTGGGGAGCATACAGGAGGTGGCCAATCAATGTTCTCTCTAATAGATGTTTCTCTCTCTCTTTCCCTCTCACTTTCTCTCTCTAAAATTAATAAAGGAAAAAAAAAAATCCCATTTACCATAATGGGAAAAAAATTAAGATACCTAGGAATAAACTTAACCAAAGAAATAAAGGACTTATTGGCAGAAAACTACAGGACATTGAAAAAAGAAATGGAGGAAGATATAAAACCGTGGAAGCACATACCTTGTTCATGGATTGGAAGAATTAACATCGTTAAAATGTCCATACTACCCAAAGCAATTTATAGAATCAATGCAATCCCCATAAAAATACCAACGACATATTTCAAAGAACTAGAACCAATACTTCAAAAGTTCATATGGAATAAAAAAAGACCCCGAATAGCAACAGCAATTTTGAAAAAGAAAAACAAAGTAGGTGGGATCACACTACCAGATATCAGAATATACTACAAAGCGACTGTAATCAAAACAGCCTGGTACTGGCACAAGAACAGGCATATAGACCAGTGGAACAGAACAGAGAACCCAGAAATGGACCCAAGGCAATATGCTCAATTAATATTTGGCAAAGGTGGCAGGAGCATACAGTGAGTAAAGAAAGCCTCTTTAATAAATGGTGTTAGAAAAATTGGACAACTACATGCAAAAAAAAGAAACTAGCCCATTAACTTACACCATACACAAAAATAAACTCAAAATGAATAAAAGACTTAAATGTGACTCATGAACCCATAAAAATTCTAGAAGAAAATGTAGGCAACAAAATTTCGGACATCATACGCAGCAGAATTTTCACTGATACATCACCTAAGGCAACAGAAAAAGGTAAAAATGAACACATGGGACTACTTCAAACTAAAAAGCTCCTGCACAGCAAAAGAAAAAAACCATCAAAATGGAAAGGCAACCCACTCTATGGGAGAACATCATTGCCAATGATATATCAGATAAGAGGTTAATTTCCAAAATATGTGGAATACTCATACAACAAAACAAAAAGAAGACAAAGAACCCAATTAAAAAATGGACAGAGCAGCTGAATAGACACCTCTCCAAACAGGACATACAAATGGCCAAGAGACATATGAAAAAATGATCAACATCACTAATCATCAGAGAGATGCAAATTAAAACAACAATGAGGTATCACCTTACACCTGTCAGAATGGCCGCCATCAACAAATCATCAAACAAGAGTTGGTGAGGATGTGGAGAAAAGGGGACTCTCGTTCACTGCTGGTAGGAATGCAGGACTGGTGTAGCCACTAGGGAAAACAATATGGTGTTACCTCAAAAAATTAAAAATTGAACTTCCATTTGACCCAGTGATCCCACTTCTAGGAATATACCCTAAGAAGCCTGAAACACCAATCAGAAAGAATATATGTACCCCCATGCTTGTAGCAGCACTATTTACAATAGCTAAGATCTGGAAACAGCCCAAGTGTCCATCAGTAGACGAATGGATAAAAAAGCTGTGGGACATATACACAATGGAGTACTATGCAGCTGTAAGAAAGAAAGATCTCTTATCCTTTGAGACAACATGGAGGGATCTGGAAAGTATTATCCTAAGTGAAACTAGCCAAGCAGAAAAAGACAAATACCACATGATCTCACTTATATATGTAATATAATGAATAGAACAGTTTGAGGAATAGGATAGACCCAGAAACACGGAAGTAGGGTACAGACTGATAACCCTCAGAAGAGGGGGTGGTGGGGGCGGGAAGAGATAAACCACAGAACTTATATGCATGTACGCATAACCAATGGACATGGACAACAAAGCTGGGGACGGGTAAGAGGGGGTCAATGGAGTAAAAAAGGAGAAATATCTGTAACAAAAATTAAATTAAAAAATAAAAAATAATAATAACAACAGCCAGAAAAAAAATAAAAATAAAAAGTCAGCATGACTCATCTATATGTTGTTTACAAGAGACTCACCTCACAACAAAAGACTCACATAGGTTGCAAGTGAAGGGATGGAAAAAAATCTTCTAAGCAAACGAAAAGGAATAAAAAGCTGGGGTAGCAATACTCATATCTGATAAAATAGATTTCAAAATGAAGACCATAACTAGATACAAAGAAGGCCACTGCATAATATTGAAAGGATCTATCCAACAGGAAGATATAACCTTGACAAACATATATGCACCCAATATAGGAACACCAAAATATACTAAAAGTCTTCTGGAAGACTTCAAAGGAGAAATAGATAGCAATACAATCATAGCAGGGGACTTCAACACCCCGCTGAAATCACGATCGATCTCTAGACAAAAATTAGCAAGGAAACACAGACTCTAAATGAAGCACTAGACCGAATGGATTTAATGGATATCTACAGAGAATTACACCCCAAAACTACAGAATTCACAGTCTTCTCAAGTGCACATGGGACATTCTCAAAGATAGACCACAGGTTAGGACACAAATTAAGTCTCTACAAGTTCAAGAAGACTGTAATCATATCAAGCATCTTCTCAGATCACAATGGCATGAAACCAGAAATCAACTGCAACAAAAACATGCAAAGACATTTGAACACATGGAAGCTAAATAGCATGTTATTAAACAACAAATGGGTCAATGAGGAGATCAAGGAAGAAATTAAAAACATCCTGGGATCCAATGAAAATGAACACACAACAACGCAAAACCTATGGGATACAGCGAAAGCAGTTCTGAGAGGGAAGTTCATAGCACTACAGGCCTACCTCAAGAAGCAAGAAAAATCTCTAATAGACTACCTAACCTCACAACTTAAAGAACTAGAAAGCAAACAAAAAGAAAACCCTAGAGCAAGTAGAAGGAAGGAAATAGTAAAGATCAGAGAAGAAATAAATGACAAAAAGACCAAAAAAACAATCGAAAGGATCAATGAAACAAAGAACTGGTTTTTCGAAAGATAAACAAGATTGATGGACCCTTAGCTAGACTCACCAAGAAACAAAGAGAGAGAACCCAAATACACAAAATCAGAAATGAAAGAGGAGAAGTAACAACTGATACCACAGAAATACAGAAGATCATTAACAACTACTATGAAAAATTATATGGCAATAAATTCGACAATCTAAGCAAAATGTACAAATTTCTAGAAACACAGTCTACCAAAACTGGACCGGGAAGAGATATAAAACTTGAAGAGACCAAAAATAAAAGAAGAAATTGAAGATGTAATCAAGACACCCAGCAAACAAAAGCCCAGGCCCGGATGGCTTCACGGGGGAGTTTTACCGAACATTCAAAAAAGAATACCCATTCTTCTTAAACTATTTCAAAAAACTGAAGAAGAAGAAAGACTTTCAAACTCGTTTTATGAGGCCAGCATAATTCTAACTCCAAAACCAGAAAAAGACACTACAAATAAAGAATACTACAGGCCAATATCCCTGATGAACATAGACGCCAAAATACTGATCAAAATACTAGCAAATTGGATCCAGCAATAAATCAAAAAAAATTATTCACCATGACCAAGTGGGATTCATCCCAGGGATGCAAGGCTGGTACAATATTCGCAAATCAATAAATGTGATACACCACATAAACAAAATGAAGAATAAAAACCACATGATCATATCAATAGATGCCTAAAAAGCCTTCAACAAAATCCAGCATCCATTTCTGATAAAAACGCTCAATAATGTGGGAATAGAGGGATCATATCTAGACATAATAAAGGTCATATATGAAAGACGTACAGCTAACATCATACTCAATGGGCAAAAACTAAAAGCATTTCCCTTAAGAACAGGAACAAGACAGGGATGCCCAGTTTCACAAATCTTATTTAACATAGTACTGGAAGTCTTAGCCACAGCAATCAGACACGAAGAAAAAATAAAAGGAATCCAAATTGGAAAGGAGGAAGTGAAATTGTCATTATTTGCAGATGACATGATATTATACATAGAAAACCCTAATGACTCCATCAAAAATGTACTAGACTTAATAAATAAATTTGGAAAAGTAGCAGGATACAAAATTAACGTCAAGAAGTCGATGGTATTCTTATACATCAATTATGAACTCACAGAAAGAGAAACTAAGAAAACAATCCAATTTCCATTGTGGCAAAAAAAATAAGATACCTAGGAATAAACTTAACCAAAGAAATAAAGGACCTATTGGCAGAAAACTACAGGACATTGGAAAAAGAAATAGAGGAAGATATAAAAACGTGGAAGCACATACCTTGTTCATGGATTGGAAGAATTAACATCATTAAAATGTCCATATTACCCAAAGCAATCTATAGATTCAATGCAATCCCCATCAAAATACCAACGACATACTTCACAGAACTAAAACAAGTACTTCAAAAGTTCATATGGAACAAAAAAAAGACCTCGAATAGCCACAGCAATCTTGAAAAAGAAGAACAAAGTAGGAGGGATCACAATT